AAACACCAGACTATTACAGCAGACTTTTTTCAGGGGTCTTAAGTTTGGATTAGTATTATCATATAGTGGGCCATGGCTTTTAATTAAAATGGAAAGGATGAAGACACTTGGCCACACCCTAAATAATTTGGTTGTTTTGTATAAGTACACCCTTCATCACATTGTCCAAAAATATTGCAAAGACAGAGCCAATAAATCACTTTATAAACAGAAAAACCAAGATAACACTTTCATAATAAAATAAAGACTAACAATACTCAATACCATCATTTCTAAATAAAATATCTTCCTGAATGTGTCAGGCAATATTTCCTTTTTTTTTTTGAGGAAAACTCATCTGTAATAACTCTGGAATTTTTTTTGCACTTCTTAATTTAATAGATAATGTTTTTAGGAAATGTTTTATTATAAATAGCGTGGTGAGCTTACTGAAGGCAAAAAACTATATCTTCTCCATGTATTCCCAGTAGCTGACATAGTTGAGTGACTGCATAACCAATATTCACTAACTAAATATTCTAAAAATTATAATAATTCACAATAATTTTTTATAAACAAGCTATATTTGGCCAATAATACTTTAAACTTCAGCAATACTTACAAGAGAAAAATTAATACTTTTTTCTTTAAGTATCTTAATATGAGACTCAAATAGTCCATACCTTATTATAATTTTTTAACTTAAGTGTTACACTTAAAGCTAGGAAACAGTTATTTAGATCACTTCTTTCCTATTTTATTTATGATTTGAGAAAGAGGAAAAAATAATCCATAAAAAGTAAATTCAGTATGTACAATTCTGAATCCAATTCTATATATTGACATTTAAATTTTAATAGTTTCAAGGAGTATATTTTAATAAATCTGTGAAACTAAACCAATTTAAAATGCTAATTAAGTGAGCATTTTCAAAATCTAAAAAATGATGGATTCACTATCATAGCCCCTGTATGATTCAGGATGATATATTAGATAAAACCTGGAGAACATATATGAAATGATCTAGACCCAAAGACCAAAAAGCCAACATCTTAAATGTGGTTCCATGGCAGTTATTCTTTCTATGCACTTTAAAGGTAAAAGCAAAACAAAATGCCCTATCAGCTAACCAATGATCAACCAGTCACCAAGGAAGAACCATGCCATAAAGTAGAACCTCATTCAAATGCCTTTACTCTCTCTCCTCAAAATTAGCAAAATAAAGAGAGAGGAGAAACTTATAACTGCTTTCAGCTCTTTAATGCTAGAAACAAATTATTTAAAATATTTTGATTCTGGTATGTTGACCTTATTTTTTTTTAACTTCTAAAAACTCTACAAGTTCGACCAAAGAATTTCGGCCTGGCACCTGTCCACTTACCATGATACAATGTTTTCAGAAGAAAGCACATACACCCTTCATTTCTCTTAAACTTATATATTCAATTGGGAATATACAAAGCATAACATTTTCACAAATACATCTATGCATCCTTGATTTTTGCTATTTGTAAATATTGCTCCATGGCATCAACAGAATAATCTCTTTTTCTTTCCTGATCTCATTTTTTTCAGAACAGGTTTCCATGACAACTTATATTTGATTTTTTGTAAATTTCTATTTTGGAATACTATTCTTACAAACTCACTTATGTATAAAATATAAACATTTTTTTACCAAGTGAACCTGAAAAATTTTGACCTTTTGAATATGTATTTACATCATAAATTTATAGCAATAGAGGAGGGAGAAATGCCAGCCAAAACAAAAGGCAAGAATACAATGTTACAAAATTCAACTAATTATCCAGTTCCTATCACTGTGGTTTCATTCTGGCACTTTAGATCATAAAAGTTAGAAATAAAACATATCTATTATACAATTGAGCCCATCTCCTCAATATTGGGAAAAGATAAAGATGATGATGACAAGTATAACAAATTGAAATAGGAATTCAGGCAGTTAAAATTGTTCATCTCAAGCATATCAATAAAAGATGAACTAATGTAAAAAAAGTAAAGAGAGTTTATAAAAGTCAAATACTTAACTTCTATTAAGAATGAGATTTGTGGCAGTAAGACCACAGCTGAAGCAAACCACTTGATAATTGACTTATGTCTCCTAGAATCATGTCCATGCAAAATATTAATTTCATCCTGTGACCTCCCAATGTAATTCTATTTATCAAACTAGTCAGATAACATTAAGTCAGGCCATCATCTGAACTAAAAGGGTTCATATAAAAATATTAAATCACGGGGCGCCTGGGTGGCACAGTCAGTTAAGCATCCGACTTCGGCTCAGGTCATGATCTCATGGTTCATGGGTTCGAGGCCCGCATCAGGCTCTGTGCTGACAGCTAGCTCAGAGCCTGGAGGCTGTCTCTGTGCTGACAGCTAGCTCAGAGCCTGGAGGCTGTCTTCGGATTCTGTGACTCCCTCTCTCTCTGACCCTCCTCTGCTCACACTGTATCTATTTCTCTCTCAAAAATAAATAAAAAAATTTTTTAAAGGTTTTTTTTTTAAAATATTATATCACATTTTAGTAAAATGGTGACTTTTGAGTATGTTTTTTTTCAGGCAACCCCCAATAACTTGAAAAGGGATTTCCCTGAAGACAAGCCCCACCAATGTTAGCCAATCTGAAAGAAAGCAAAACATTTCATGTCAAATGGTCAATAAACATGAGAAGTTCAAACAGGTTCAAGAAGTTCATTCAACTCCCATATTTTCACACTAATGTTGGGTGGTCCAGGGTAAAAACTCCACCAAAGACCTTTACCAAAGGTCATAGATGACCTTTCAAAGTTAGAATTCTAGTGTCTTATCCTGCATTAAATCTCAAGAGCAACACGTTCTCCAGAGATTTCATAAGCCAGTCACTTATAATCAGTGGTTGTGGTAAAAAGGGCCTGGGAAGGATGTCAGGAGACCTCCAGCATAATTTTGGATCTGCTATTAACTTGCTGTATGACCTTGGCCATCACTTAGCATCTGCAGTCTTCATTTTCCTCATCTATAAAATACAGGGTTTTCATGAAGTGACCTCAAGGAAATTTTCCAGATCTGTGATTATCAGCTGATTCTGATTCTGATGGCTCTTTGACCTTGTGTTAATCTCTAATATATCTGTGTTCTTTCCTCACCAAAAATAGATACATGTCAAACCCTTACTACTGTTACAATGAAATCTTAGGAAGTTTTTTTAAACTGTTTTCAAGCTTTGACCAATAATCAATAAAATCAATTTCCATAGCAATAAGACAAATGAAATACCATCTTAAAGTTTTTGCTACACAAACTAGCCCACAATAAAATCTATTATATTATCATGGGGAAAGATAATAAAACATTCTGTCTTTCTTATAGCACACAATCTGGGGGGAAAAAAATCACATGATGGAGGCTGAAAACAAATTCAGATGATCTTTTTAGCCACCAAGCGGAAAGAGCACTGGGGCACTCAGCTGGAATAAAAAAACAAAAAAACAAAACAGAACAGAACAAAAAAAAACCACAGAGATGTAATGGTCATGGAGTCTTTGACTTAATTTAAGTAAATATGCACTTGTTTTTGTTCTTGTTTTGAAATCCAACTCTTGCTGAACTTATAGGATGGTCTGAACAGGAAGATTTCAAAGTTGAAGTTATTAATTCCATATTCAAATATGATAATGTGGACATACTAAAATTTATGTAAGCATTTAAATGCCAGATTCAAAAGAAGAGCAATGCTTAAAATTGTCTCATTCATATTCTATTTCAAACTGAAAACAAAACATATCCTCAGACTTCTACAGTGGTATCAGAAGCATATCTTCTGGCAAGTTATTAGATAGACAGTTGCGCATTATCTCAGATGCAGAGACTTCTGACATACAGAAGACAATAATGAGGATGGAGCCCAAGTGAAGCTGCCTTGGGGGTATTTTTTCCCAGTGTCAGAAGCAAACCAGACACGCACAGTTGCGAAGGTTTTACTAAATACAGTCCTCCGTGCTCACGTATAATTAAAAACCATTCACATACTGTATAATTTTTTGGTTATTTATATTTCTTTTATTCCCTTTACACTGGAGAAACAGTGTATTGGTTACTTTTATAGTCCCTTCATGGGAGTCTGCAAAATTAATTGGGAGTGTCAAGGACTAAATTTAAACTGTCATTCAAGCTAGAAACTGAAAAGGAAAAAAAAAATGGAGGATGGACTCACAATCTGAAGAGTAAAATAAAGTTTGCAACGATCTAAACTGTCCAGATTTAGACAATCTGACTACACTAGCATCACCAAAGTGACCAATTCATAGCCAACCTGTAAGAAAACAGAGACACAGCCCAAGGGGGAAAGGACCAGGCTCCCAATTTCAATGTGCAGGTGGGCTCTCTGGTCAACTCACAGGGACAAGCAATTCATCATTCTTCCCCCTTGGAAGGAGACAGGCCCAAACAGCACTCAGGAGGGGCTCTTCACAAAACGGCCCCCTGGCACACCCTCTCCCCACCCAGCCACACAGGTGTATTCCATTTTCCCTTCTCTGTCTTTCGATTAGATCCCTACTTGGAGTCACTGCTCTGAATGAGTCAGCTATGGAGTGTCAGGACTCACTGAGAATGTCAAACCGCGATGCCCAGAAGGCCTGAAGAAACATCCAAACTGGAGGGAAAGTTGGGACAAAAGAGTCAGGGGAGAAAAAAAAACAAGAATGCAGATGAAGCTCGATACCAGTTTCAGGACAAGGTTCCAGAGACTGGCACAGAGAGGTCGACCTTTGCCCTTCCGTTCCCGTCTGCTAAAGGAAGTCTCACTTGGAGCTGAGAGGGTGAAGGACGGAGAGGGCGGGAGGAGGGCGGCCGGGGTCCCTGAATTTACCTTGCATCGGACGGGCTTCTAACCTCGCCCTTAGGGAGCCCCGTTCCCTCTCCCTCCCAGCCCCTCCCGCACCCCAGAGGCCCCCGGTGGAGGAGAGAAGCGTTGGGAAAGGAGCTGGAGGAGCGGGGGGAGGGGGCGGTTCTGGCCTTACCCTGGCGGCTCTGGACGAGTAGGGGTCCTCGAAAAGGGCCCACATGCGGGGCTGCAGCCTCCTCCAGCGGCCGGACTTGCCGTCGGGGCCCCCCAGGCCCGCGGCGTCCTCGATGCCCAGCCTCTTGGCCGCCAGGTCCTCGTCGTCGCCCGGGTCGCCGCCGATGAGGTCGGGGGTCTCGAAGATGTCGAGCGCCTCCTCGGCGTCGCGGTGCTGCCGGTAGGTCATCCAGCAGCAGGGCTCCACGTCCGTCTCGTCGATGCCCCAGAAGGCCAGCTCCTCCTCGAAGAGCGGCCCGCACACGTCGGCGGGGCAGTGCAGCTTGCCGGTGCGGTAGTAGTTGAGCACGTAGGCGAAGACGCCCGGGTGCCGGTCGAAGAAGAACTCGCGGCCGCCCCCGGGGTGGTCGCGGCCGCCGCCGCCGCCGCGGGGACTGCAGTTGCCCGCGCCGCCCTCGAAGCAGCCGCCCGGCCCGGGGGACCGTGGGGGCGGTCGCGGCGGCGGCGACAGCGAAGGGGGCGACGGCTGCAGCGTGTCGCCCGCCGCCGTCAGGCAGTCGCCCGGGGGCTCCGAGGCGGCGAGGAGGGCCAGGCGCGTCCCGGGCAGGGTCTTGAGGGTGCTGCGGTAGGTCTCGTGCCGGGTGCCCCCGACATTGAGGATCACCCTCTCGTTGTTCTCGATCTTGCCCATCTCTGTGGCTCAGACATGACTGGGGGGAGGCGAACACAGCGCCCAGTTAAAGATCGCGGCCGTCAGAGCCGCGCGGTGACCCCCCTCCCCCCACTCCGAGCACGAGTCCCAGGACGCGGGGCTGGAGAGCGGCGAGGGGGGAACGACCCTCCCAGGAGGAAACGCGTGCCCAGCCCCGACCCCGCCTCCGGCAACACACCTTCCCCAGGCTTCCAGAAAACTCGGGAGGTCGCGCCAGCTTCCCTGACCTTCCAGGACACCTTCTTCCCGGCCTCCCACCTTTCTCTCCTTCCTCCGATCTCTCCCACCTCATCTTCCCACCCTTCGCCTCCCTCCTCTGCGTCCCCTCCCACAAACAACCCCCACCGCTCTTCTCGGTCCAGAGCCCTCCTAAACCTTCCCCCCTCCTCCCTGGCCCCTCTCTTCAATTCTCGTAGACCCTCTCTCCGCCCCTACCCCGGACCTGGAGGCGGCTCTCTCGGACTAGGAGTTTTCCCTGCGGAAACAACTTGGCTGTGTTGGGTGAGAGCCCCGGACGGGGCGGGGGGCCCCCATTACGCGCCTACCCCCGGTCCTCTGGACGGCTCGCAGCGTCCCGGCACTCAGGGAGTGCCCTTCGCGCGCCTGGTTCTCGGGTCACCTCCACTCTCCCCCACCGACCAGGCAAAAAAAAAAAAAAAAAAAAAAAACCTGAACGCAGAAGTCAAAGCACAAAAATCTCCCTGCTGTTGCCTTTCACCAAGGAGACCTGTGACTAATTTCCTGATCCAATTTCCTTTTCACATTGTTGTTGTTGTTGTGATATTATTACTTGGGAAAGGAAAGCACTAACTAGGATCCATTTTTGAGAGTACGACTGACCAACGCGTCCCACCCCACCCCCCTTCCCAAGGAAAACAAACGCCCGGGGGGTGGGGGTGGGGGCTGCTTTCTAGGAGGGGCGAGGCCCTGGGGAAAGCCGCTGGAGGCACACCCCCTGGATCCCTGAGCTCACAGCGCCCGTTTCCAGTCTCCCAGCCACGTCGCCCCAGGGCTTCACCTCCACGTTCCTGCCCGCCCGCAGGGTCAGCATGCCCTTCCCGGCCGATCGCCCCCCTTCCCTCGCGCCCCCAGATACCTTAACGACACCCACAGAAAAGTGGTTCTGCTCTGGCTTCCGAGTGGACGAGCGTCTCCGCGCAGCCGGGCTGAGTCCTGACACCCAGCCGAGCAGCCCTTCTCCAACGAGAAACTACTTGTTGGCGCGTTCCGGGTGCAGGTGGCTGGGCCGCGCCTCCGGGCGCTGGGGTCGCGGAGCCAGCCCCCGCCGGCTGCCGGCCGCGCTCCCCGCCTTCATGCCGCGAGCGGCGGGCTCGCCCCGCGCCGGCCGCGGCGCCCGGACTCACCATCGCGCGGGGCTGGGCGAACCATGGGGCTCGGGGCGGGTGCAGCCGGCGCTCCGCGACCCCGCCCGGAGCGGGCCCCGCGGCTGGCCGTGGCCGCGGCGGAGCCGGCCGCGGGTCTGCAGAGCTCACCCTCCCGCAGGGGAAGCCCCCCGGCCCCGACCTGGACCTGCGCGTTTGGTTTCTCCCCCGAAAGCAGCCGCGGCCAGAGCGGTCCCTTCCGCGCCGCCCGCCTTCAACCACCAGCGCCCGAGCACAGAGCTCAGCAAAGGGTGGGTGGGTGGGTGGGTCTGGGGAAGCTCTCTTGTACCAACCAGGTTCATATATTTTTCTTCCGTGAAGCTCTATCCCCACCCTCTCTGGAGCTTCTGCCTGCCTTATTTACACCCCACGCTCCGCACCCTTTCTCTTCCCACTGCCCCACCCCTCCCAACAAGTGACAGAGCATCTCTAAGACCAATTCCATTTTTTTTTTCCTTAATGACAGCTGATAGGAGAGAGAGGTCTACTTACAGGTGACAAGGGAGTCTTGTTTCTCGCGTCTTCCACATGGCTCTGGCTTGCTCTTTCCAGTCAAATGTAGGTCTCCAGTCACCACATCATGGTTATATAAAACAAAACAAGTTTAAAAAGTTTGTTCCAGGAACATAATGCTCTAGCAAGTGAAAATTCAGGTTTCTTTATCAGAAGCTACAGTGGGAGCTACAGATATCCGAGTACCAAAGGAATTATCTAATTGCTCAGTTCCTCTCTCAAATTTTATTGGGCCTCGTGTAGTTTGCTAGGGCTGCCATACCACAAACTGGACTGTTGGAACAGTAGAAATATGTTACCTCAAAGCTCTGCAGGTAGAAGGTAGACATTAAGGTGCGGTCTCCTACTGAGGGCGGCGAGGATTGGACCTATTCCAGGCCTCTCTTTTAGGTTTGCAGATGGCCATCTTACCGTTGTGTCTCTTCACATCATTCTCCCTTTTATACAAGTCTGTGTCTGTTCAAATATCCCTTTTATATAAGAACACTTGTTATAGCGGAATAAGGCCCACCTTAATGGCTTCATCATTAAAGACCCTATCTCCAAAATAAGGTCACGTTCTCAAGTACTGGAGGCTGGGACTCCCACATCTATCTACCTTTCTTTCTTTCTTTCTCTCTCTCTTTCTTTTGTTCTTTCTTTCTTTCTTTCCTCCTTCCTTCATCCCTCTCCTCTTCCCTCCCTTCCTCCCTTCCTTCCTTCTTCTTTCCTTCCTTTCTTTTTGAAGGGGACACTGCCGGGATACAATTCAAAACATATCAGTTCATACTACCAAACAGAGTGTGAGTCTGCGTGTATATTGACAGAGAGAGAGAGAGAGAGAGAGAGAGAGAGAGAGACTATTCCACAGGTATAGCTTAAAAGGATTGAAGTCCATGGAGTAGGTAAAATACCAGGTTGTATGTAGGATGAAGTCTCTCAAAAACCAGATACTGATATTGACACTGTGATTTGGAACGTACAAGAATTATGAATTACTAATAAAAAAGTTTTCAAAATATACAGAACTGCAAGATAGGCAGTTAAATATAAATAGTTCCTTAAGAAAACACCTATCCATTTTGACAATAGATGATTAAACAAAGTAGAGAATTAAAAGGTGTCTGGAAGGTTATCGATGTCTAATCTAATGCAAGAAAATATGGCATGTATACATATGTAAGAAATTTACTAACAGGATGACAGTAGAAGTGTAATAATAACGAACAGCTATATGGACCCAGCCTTGTGACAACAAATTTGCTTTACTAACACAAACTCACACTCAAAAGTGTAAAGCTTAAATGCTGAGGGAGCAATTCTAGTTTACCACTATTATCAATCACTGAGGCATTTGTTAAAATAACAGTGATAGTAAATTTCAGCTGCCAGTAAATTTCCAAAGAAAAATTATATTCAAATTATAACATGTGTTCTCATATTGTCTAGATGGTTCCTTATATAGTTTAATGTAAATTCAATAGGGAGAAAAAGACATATGGTTTGCTTTAAAATAAATTAGCAATAGTAAGTGTAGTAGCAGAAGCATTTATGATAATAGATAACATTTACTGAGATCTTACTATGTGCAAAATGTTTTACATAAACTACTCCTTTTAATTTAAATGGAGGAAATATTCACATTAAATTACAAGACTTCCAGAAAGATAACTCATATAGATGGCAGAAATCAATAATGAAAGCCTTCAGCTTGACAAAATTAAATTTGTATTATGAGGGATCTATAGAGAAACCAAAGGAAGGGGGGCAAATAATGCAAAGGAATCATGGAGGGGAAATGAGAAAACAAAGGTCTAATGAACCCATTTGTGTCTAAGTTTATATAAGCTATCTAGAAATAATCACACTGACAAAAGGATCATCTTTTAGAAAAACTCAGACTTTTCTTGTGATTCGTAAAGTATTAGATGTGAAATTAGAGAACATTTCAGATAAGTTTGAAAATAAGAAATATGGAAAGATGAAAGGACGAGATGTACATTTTCAGTGGAGAATTGATAAATAAAGCAGTGAGTGAAATACAGTTTTGTTTTTTTTTTCTGGTCAACATAAGAGGGGAAGATCCTAAAACAAATATTCAGTCTTCATTATATAAGACAGGAAAGAACAGAAAACCCCTCTAGCTAACTAACTCCCTGATGCTTCCATAAAAGACAGATAAAAGTGGAAAGAAAGCAAATATTTGAAAGATGGCAATGGAAAACTGACGTGGAAAAAGCAGTTGTGGTTCCCTTTGTTGGTCTGTGTGGAGCAAGGATTTAAAAGACCATATGGATATTACCCCTGGCGGGGAAGCAACTGAAATGCTGTTTCCTTTACATCCTTGAGTCAGCATCACAGAAGGCTATGGAAACTGAGCATTGCATCACCACCAGAAATGTGGCTTGATCTCATTAAGCCACACTGTGACTGTCACAATGACATACTCATAAAAGTTTAACTGTTGAACAAATTAACTCTTATAAAGTTTATATAAGAATTTTTAAAATATTAGTCACCTTCAAAAAGCAATATATTCGGTGCGCCTGGGTGGCTTAGTCGGTTAAGCGTCTGACTTTCGCTTAGGTCATGATCTCACGGTTTGTGGGTTCGAGCCCTGCGTCAGGCTCTGTGCTGACTGCCAGCTCAGAGCCTGAGCCTGTTTCAGAGTCTGTGACTCCCTCTCTCTCTGACCCTCTCCTGCTCACGCTGTCTCTCTCTCTCTCCTAGAAATAAAATAAAACATTAAAAAAAAAAAACAATATATTCATCAGCAAAATGCCTCTGCAGATTAAGAAATGGCCACAATTCCCCACCCGGCCCTGTAGATAGACCACCTTGTAATGTGGTGTGCATCTGCTCCTATCAGCTCTGTTTCTCCAGCCCCTAAATCTGTACTGGCTTTGTAGCTTGCCTTGGCGAACACAATGAAGTGGGAGTGATGTACCAGCTTAAAGCCTTAGTTTCAAAAGGTCTTGTATCCTTCTGCCCTCTCTCTTTTTTGGAACCCTACTCTAGTGCTATGAGAATAAGCCTTGGCTGGACTGCTTGATGATGAGAGGCATAAATACCAGTCTCCCTTTCTCTCTCTCTCTCTCTCTCTCTCCTTTCTCTTTCTCTCTCTCTCTCTCTCTCTCACACATACACACACACATGCACACACACACATACACACACCTTTGATACAAAGGGAACATTAGGAAACAAGTCAGAGGATGCAATAAAGCAAGGATAAATACCTAAAGAAAATAAAATGCCCCTCGACAGCTAAAACTTCTTATCTCTGCCCCTAAATGATTCACAGCTAATTCCCAGAAGCAGAACTGCCTTGCTCTTATGCATGTGTCCAGAAGAACTGTCCAACTGAACTTAGCCCAAAGGCACAGCCCCACAAAATTATGAGCTTCAAAAAGACAGTAGCTAGGCTACTAGGTTTTGGCATCGTTTTTTTACCAAACGGATCCATCCTCATCTAAGCTCCCTTTATCTGAAAAATAAAAAAATATGAGCTTACTTATCTGCCCTCTTAAGAATAACATTTATATCATGTATTGTGAAGTCTAAAAGAAAATCAATATATGACATCTATTTTCCTCATTTCATAAATTTTTGAGAGGCAGTATTTCACAGTGGTTAATTCCACTGACCATGGAGGCAGGGAAAATGGAGTTCATGTTCTGAGTGTTACTCACTAGATGTCTGACCTAGAGAAAATTGCACAACTCCTTGAACCTCAATTTCTTCTTCTATAGAATGGAGAGGATGACACTATAGTAAATTTGAGGATTAAATGATATAAGGGCAATAAACACATAAGAAAGTCTCTGGCACATTTTAGCAATCTACTTTTGGTAGCTTTTATTGTCAAATAAAGAAGTCTCACACCAAAATAACATAATTAATAACGGACAGAAGCAGGACCATAACCATACCCTCTTATAATTCCAACTCCTATCTTTTGTACCATCCTACTTTGTACTGAGGTCAAAACTAGGTCAAATACCATAGAGATGTAATGAAAGCAAAATGCTAGAATTTTTGCAATAAGTCTGCATCCTTATCAAATTGCTTTAGCTTAAAAATATATGTACTGGGGTGCCTGGGAAGCTCAGTCAGTTAAACATCCAAATCTTGATTTTGGCTCAGGTCATGATCTTACTGTTCATGAGTTCAAGCCTCTCATTGGGCTCCGTGCTGACAGCATGGAACCTGCTTAGGATTCTTTGTCTCCTTTACTCTCTGTCCCTCCCCTCCTTTTGCTCTTTCTCTCAAAATAAATAAATAAACTTTA